TGTTAACAGGCAAAAATACTAGATTTCTACTGCAATCCAACTCTTGGCTGCCCAGCACACCTCCTTCCTATACAGAGTTGTATAAATGTTTCTGACCTAAGGAAACAATCTCTGCTCTCTAGGCCCTATCAGTGTGATTTAATCAATGCAGTGGATCAGTCTGAGGTCTTATAGGGGAACCAGGGAATCAAAGCCTTTCTGATCCAGAGCTGGGGGAGAACTGTGGCGTCCCTGCGTGAACAGGAAAGGAAAACGCGTCCTTTCCAGCAAAAGTGGTTTCTGTTTCTTGGGATAATTAGACCAGGAGATGCCTCTTCGCTCCAAGGCTTCATAAGGAGCACATATCTAATACAGCAGTTAAAATGGGAATCGCCACTTGCTTAAAATACACCCCCTGTCGTTTTCCAAGACCCATCCAGTGTTGCACCAGCCAACCAGGGGAAGCTCGTGGTGCTTTGATAGGAGTCGTCACTCTGCAGGGTCTCCGGTCTCTGCAGCCTCCTCGAAGATGGGGTGCCGCTGTTGAGTTTTCTATTCTGGAACAGGAGCTCAACAGGCTTCTATTGGCCTCCATGGGTCAGGGAGCCAAGTGGGGATCTTTTCAAACTATCATTCAGAAACTGGAGATAGAAGACAGCTTTGGGATCCCACTAGACCTCCAGTGACATGGAAGAAGGTCAAAACACGACTTTTCACGTGATTGGTGGACCTACAGTAGAACTCTCGGACTCAAGAAATTGGTATTAGCTCAAAGTTTTCATCCAAGGTTCCCTGAAAGATTTGAGTATTTACCTTTGTGCAGCACCCCCTTCCCCTGGTCCACGGCCACAGGTGCTGGAGAAGACGGGAAGTGTTCACGTCACATCCGTGCAGCAGCAGACAGCTGTCCTTCCTAGGGGCAGGCTGCGGAAGTTCCGCTCAAAGGGCTTTAGATCCATAAGCAAACTCGTCTAGGAGACTTGAGAGAATTTTCTTTAGAGAACGTTTTTGGTTTCTGCTTTGTTTCTTACAGTTTGTTGGTTATACAAATAAAGAGGACTTGATTGGTCACCTCCGATTAAACGTTTTGGGGTCCCCTAACCTGAGATGGTACCTCATTCAGAGCCTGCTGAATATTACAAGGACCATTCCCACTTAATTTCTGAGGGTTAGATGCTAACATCTGGCTTCTCACACCTCTGCATTCTTCCTCCCCTCTGCTATCAGGGAGCCCCTGCACCCAGCAATCTTGACCTAGACTTTCCTCAAAGCAAGAGTCAAGAGTTCTGGGTTCACTGAGGGCCGTAGTTGGAGGTATTTGTGGGAAGGAGGCACAACACAGATCCAGTCCAGCATCCCTGTCTTCAGAAATATTTGAATTCTTTCCTTTATGATGCCAAGGGACTTGGAGCCTTTGAATTCCATTTCTTGTGGGCCAGCGCTTGGTCCAAGTGTGCGCTGGCCAGCCCTCCGTTGTTAGAACCCAGCCAGCTCCTGGCCCGCGCGGACAACGCGGGACCCTGGTGCAGGCCTGCATATGAAGGTCAGCCGGTCCAGCATTACCTTTCCCTCTCCCTTCAAGTGCCACAGAAATCCATTCCCACAAACACTTCCCATTTCTGATGGCACCAATTAACAAGTTTCTGCCCTTCTGTATGGCTCCAAGATTCTTTCCTACTCACTCAGAGCCTGTTTTTCACCCTCTAGGCCAAAATGGATCCCCACCTTCCCGCTAGGCAGCCTTGGGGGTGGGGTGAGCAGGCACTTGGGAGCTTTCTCCAGTACGGAAGGGCGGGGCTGCTTCCGCCCGGCGTTTGAGGTTGCCTTGGATTTGCCCCATGTCCTCACACAGCCATTGCACTTGTCACTGTCCTACTCTTCCTGTCAATGCCCGACTTCACCAACGTGCAGCAGGGCTGTGGACTCAGCAACTGCATCAATTGCCAACTTTGGTTTTGGAGATCTCGGCCCGACTGCCGAGTCAGGAGGTTCTTTCACCACCGTCATGGGAACGCGCTCCATTCCATTCTGTGCCCAAATTATTCTGGGCTTGCTTTGTTGACCTTCCCTTTACATTACTCTGTGCAGTTAGAAATACTGCATCTTGTCCCACAGCCTGGGCATTCCTCACCTTTAACCTTAACTTTGGACTGGAACAAAACTACTCCTTTTCGGAGAGCCGCCTCCTCGGTGGTCATATGGTACCAAGTAACACGGGAAGTAGCCCTTGACCCACAGTCTGCTGGCCCCAGGCCAGGGCATGAGCAGCGACCTCGTTGTGTCTCGCCTCGTGACAACTTGATCATTTCAACACCCACATTTCCTGGAGGACATGTTGCCTGATCCGATTTCTGTATCAATCAGGAGTCTTTAGTTGCAAACAACAGAATCCAGCTCTGGAAAACTTAAGCAAAAAATGCCCTGGCCAGTATGGCTCAGCTGGCTGGGCACTGTCCTGTGCACCGAAATGTTGCCGGTGTGAGTCCCAGTCAGACACAGGCACGGGTGGCAGGATCGATCCCCTGTAGGGAGTGTGCAGGAGGCGGCCAGTAGGGGGTGTGCAGGAGGCGGCAATGGATGTTTCACTCTCCTATTGATGTTTCTTTCTCTCTTTCCTTTTCCCTTCCTCTCTCTCTAAAAAAATCAATTTAAAAAATCTAAAAAAAAAAAAAATACATTAAGCAAAAAACGATGGCATTGGATAGCTACCAACTAGGATCAAAGTAAAATTAAACAACTGGGCTCCGAGAAAGACAGGAGCAAGGGCGATACGGGGACTGAGGTAGTTGAGCCCCATGAATCACCTCTCTAGGGCCCTGTAAGTGGAACCCCTTCGTGACAACTGCCTCCATTTTATGTGTCACTCTGCTCAAAGTTCCCTGAAGACGGAGTCTAACTGGACTGGATTGGGTCACATGCCTGTCACGTGGCTAGGGGAAAGGCTGGGGTCACAGACAGCCTCGCCAGGACACAGCAGAGGCTGAAGAAAAAGTACAGCAGGTCCTCAGATAACATCCTTTCGTTCAACGTTCAACGTGGCTTCGCTGTAATGTTGATGAGATGCCACAGGAACCTAACTCTAATTTACATCAATTAGCCTACAATACAATTGGCTTAGTGATGCATCATTTCACTTCAAGTCCTAGAACCTACTGATGTTAAGTGAGGATGTACTTTGTGTGTAGATGTAACAGGTTTTGTTTAGCATCAGGTGTTTATAAGTAACTTTCTCCCACCGGACTCCGTACAGGCTGGTCTCTGCCAGGATGCCTTCCCTGCCACTTCCCACCTCTCCACTGGCCACCTCTTCCTCCGTTTGTAGTTCAGGATGTACTACCTCCTCCAGAAGAGCTTCCAGGACTCTCCAGAACTGACTGTACCCTCACAGGCTGTGTACTTCCTTCTACCATGGTATTGCCGATGCAGCTCTCGTGTGTTTGACCGGCACCCTGGCTGGTTTGTAAGAACTGTGTCTGGTTCGTCTTTAATATCCCTGCCAACTAGCTCAGGACCGGGCACAGAGTAGGTGTTCAGCAGAAGTTTACTCCCATCCCACTACCTCCCCTGGCTTTGGATTCTAGGGTAAACGCAACACAAGGCCAATGTCACGAAGTTCACAGCACCGTCATCCAGGCTGTAGATGGAGGATCTCTTTTTTTTTTTTAATCCTTACCCGAGGATATTTTTCCATTTATCTTCAGATAAAGTGGAAGGAAGGAGAAGGGGGAGAGAAACATATCGACCAGCTGCCTCCCACATGACCCCAACCAGGGCCGGGGACAAACCGCAACCAAGGTATGTGCCCTTGACCGGAATTGAACCCGTGACTCAGTGGTCCGTGGGCAGATGCTCCAACCACTGAGCCAAACCAGCCACGGTGGAGGATCTTATTTTTAAAAAGAGGATAGTCTGTGGTCCAAAGGACAGTTTATTTAAAACAAAGGTGTAGGAAGAAGGAAGGAGGGAAGATGATTCCAACAAAAAAGCACATAGGAAGCATCTCAAATGAAAACAACCACAAGGCAATGAAGGAAGCTGTGTCTCATACATATACAAACCGCTAACTCCGACAGATTATTTACATCCAAACCTTATAAAACAGCATTCAAGTCAGAACTTAAGCCAGTGTTATTAGTTTGTTACAAAAAGTTAAAGCTACAAACTTCACATTTTTTAAGTTGTACATCTGAAACAGCATGTATGCTTTTTTTTTCCAAGTTGGTCTGAGTGCAAGCTGGTGGAAGAGATTTTTCCCCCCCGAACACAAGTAAGAACATGGATTCCAAAGACGATGAATATAATCCCGATGAAAACACAAACATGGCGCTTTAAGAAACGATGGGTGGGAGGGTGTGGACTGGGCAGGAACAGTTTTCCAGTAAAGAAGGAGTTGCTATTTCAGAGGCAACGCGGTATGCTGGAAAGGGCACTGGAATAAAAACGAGGACTGAGTTTGAATCCTGGCTCTGCCATACTCTAGCTATGTGACCTTGAGCAACAGACTTTCTTTCTCTGAGCCTCAGTTTCCTTATCTGCAAAAGAGGACAATAATACCTGTATCTCCCAGAGCTATTGTTTTATTAGATACAGGACTATTCAGATTATCTATTTCTTCTTGAGAGAGTTTAGTACTTTGTATCTTTCAATTAATTTGTCAATTTCACTTAAACTGTTGAATTTATTAGCATAAAGTTGTTCATACTATTAGCCTTCAGTATCTGTAGGGTCCCGAAGGACCTCTCTCATTCCTGATACTTGTAAGAGCTATTGAGTTTTAAATGGTACAAAAAATTTCTGGCATCCGCCAGGTGCTAAATAAATGTTACCTGGATCAGAATCCATAGTCTCAAGGGGTTAAGGCTATAGTTCTTAAGTTGCTCCAGAGTATTGGGTCGGTCTATCTATCTATCTATCTATCTATCTATCTATCTATCTATCTATTTTTCTTCAGAGTATTGGGTCTATCTATCTGTCTGTCTGTCTATCCATCCATCCATCCAACCATCTATCCAGTCTGTCTGTCTGTCTGTCTATACATCCATCCATCCATCCAACCATCTATCCAGTCAAACATTCATCCATCAATCCAGTGGTTGGGAGAAGGGATGATGAAAAAAAAAAATGTAAATGTGCTTCAAAATTACTGATGAGGAAGCAATGAAGATATTCTTGGAGAATTGGGGATTTTTTAAAGACACGGGTTTGGGTCATTGTTTCTTGGAAGGAGAGAACAAGGGGCTAAGAGTTCCCTGGAAGCTTGAGTCACAAATGTTCAGGCAACGGCTGCCACTCGGGACTCGAGGAAAGCAAACTGACCTGTCCTGAGTTTAGTATTCAAGGAAGAGCACGGCTGGAATTTGCTCCTCTGCCTTCCTGTCACTAGAAAACAAATACACCTGGTCGGGAAGTCTATCTGATCCAAAAGAAACGTCTGGCTAAGGACTCTGTCTAGCTAGACTGGGGAGCAATGTACTTTGTTAGACCAGCATGTTGGGTGCGCACATGCCTGAAACAAAATAAACTCCAGATCAAGATTCAAGAATATTTATGGGGGGGAAAACTGAACCTTTTTTCACTTGGATCTAACTTAGGAAAGCAGAACATGGGCAGTGCCCTCCTGTCTGGCCAAGTACGAAGTCCTGCTTCAAAAAGAAAGAGACTGAGGCAGGTCTGTTCACGGGCACAGCAGATGGGCTGGGGAGTGCCTGGCCTGCCCCATGATTTGGTTTTTAAAATTCACTTGGCTGTCAGACTTGACTACTAATTCAGCTGTTTCCCAACTTAAAAATGCCCATTAAGAGTTATTTAGTCTATGCAAGAAAAGGTGGTCACTTCATTTTAAAAACTTTCCCTGGTAAATGCTGGTCCCATATGGCGACGCTATGAACCTGGATTCTACCACTCACCAGCTGTACTGCCTCGGGGGAAGACGCCCTCCCCTCTCTGAGCCTGCTCCTTCATCTGTGACATGGAGATGAAGTACTGAACTCGAGGAGTTATTGCGAACACAGAGCCTACAGAGCTCTGTGCCTGGCTAATCCTAAGTGGTGAATAAATGCTGGCTGCCCCCAGCGGGTCCTCAAATTGTCCTCCAGTCTCGGTATCTGCCACACAGCTGCTTAACTGGCCAAGCCCTGCAGACCAACAACTGCCTCTTGCATTTTTAACAACTTGCTTTAATCGCAAAGAATAGCATCTGGCCACCGAAGGGGAGCATTCCCTGCCTTTCCATTGATTCCCAGGATTGGGAAGCAAAAACAATCACGGAGCCAACTGCAGTGTCCTTAGGTGTAACGCACTCACAGCCCTATCCGAGAGGAAGAGATACAGTATTTGAAAATAAAAACACATTTGCCTTTCCCAACTGTCTCCTCTGCTGCGTGACTAAATGACAGGTGGCCTTGAGACAATGCCGCAGAAGGGCTCAGTGCTGTCTTCTGCAAGCCCTCTGCTCTGCTTTGGGCCCTAAATCTGCCTGCTCGAGGCTTGTCTATCTGCTGACGGTGCAGAGGCCACGGACCGACTGACACGGGATGATCTCGCTCCCCTGGGATCTCTTCACAGCCCCACTCACTGAAGGGCAAAGCAAGAGCGAGTTCCCTAAGCAGGCTTCCCTGGGACAACTTAACCAAAACCAACACAAGTTTCTTCCCTCGGAGAGGGCTACTTGGGTCAGTGCACTGGGAGTGAGGAGCCTGAGGTCCAGTCCCAGCCCCCACTTTCGCCAGCTTTGTGGTTCTGGCCATGCCCTTGCCTCTCCGAGCCTCAGTCAGACCAGATGAAGGCTAGGGTCCCTTCCAGCTCTGGCATTCCACATGTCTGGGTTGAGCCTCCTGGAGAACAAATCTTAAGTCTGATATTCACTATCCTTTCCAGACCCCTTAGCAGTAAAATAAAAAAGACGACAGTCACATATTTGAACGCGGACCACAAAGCAAAGCCCTCTACCCACCCGCAAGGAATGCAGAGCAAAACGCCACGTGTGTGAGCTTCACAGGAACAATGAGAACTTCGAAAACCCTTTTCCCTTTTGCAGACTGAACACAGCCCATGTTTGCTGGGAGTTCCTGGCAGGTCTGTCCCCTCAAAGGGTCACGTCTCCTCTTAAGGCACTGGGCAGTATCTGTGCTGTGACTGTAGGCAGCTGGGAGAGTGGAGGTGGATAAAAGGCGCTGAAACCACAAAGGCCAATTTGCAAAGAAGGCGCCAGGCTTCTCCTGGGACTCGAAAAGTAAACACGACTCTCAAGGCTTTCCCCCGGACGTCACCAGTAGCTCCAGGAGCCAGGGCGACCCACACAAGGCTGAAACCGTGCTGAAAACTGGCCCGAAACTAATTTTTAAATGCAGCCGGGCAAAAGGGTGAGGTTGGCTGCAGGGAGCTGAGCGACCCCAACAGCCCCGGGTGTCGCCTGCCCTCGTGGTCCACAGTACCATAATCTTACAGGAAAGAGGCAACTGCTTAAAACTGTACCTGTACAGAGATGCCACCACACTGAGTGGGGAATCTAGTTATAATTTACATATATATGCATATTTATAGTTTTTAAAAAAGTCTTCCAGAAAGAACACTTGAAAGCTATTGGGAGAAGAAGAACAAAAGACAATGTAAAACTTTCCCAGCTATCACTCAACTAGGAGTCTCTGTTCCTGGGGTTTCACTCTGAGTTTAAAAGCGCCCATAGAAATCCTTTGAAGTATAAACCTGCCTGAGACACACCGAGACGCCCGCTGCCTGCGGGGGAGGCGGCCCTTCCCACTGGCGCACGTTCCTGAGTTCACAAGGTGCTGTGGAGGCGACGGCGGCGGGTGCTGGGTGCTGGCTGACACTGGAGCGGGAGCGCCGGGTGCTCACGAGGCCGCCTGGGAGCGGGCCTCCGGCCTGGCCGAGGTGCTCAGAAGTTCTGCTGCCGCCGCTTCTTCGCCTCGATGGCATCCAGGATCGGCTGCCGCTTCGACTGGTACTTCTGCCGGATCTCTTCGATCTCCTGCTCCATCATGGGGTCCAGGGCCAAGAGCCTCTTCCGAAGGTCCTCCACCGTCCAGCTCTTAAGCTAGAAGGGAAGTGAAAAGTACAGTCGTGACAGAGCCCAGTTCCGTGGCCAAACGGCAGAGAGGCCAGCCTGACAGGCACACAGAGGGAAGGGAGGGCGGAGGACACGAGGCCACGCCGAGCTGGGGTGGCAGAGGTCGGAGAGTGAGCTCAGGCAGATGGCGGCACACCACCACGCTTCTCTGAGCCCATTCATCTCTGTAAGAGCTCCAAGTGCTAATCTCTGGTCGACTGCGCCTTGACCAGGACCGTACGGACTCATACTTTTAACTCCACTACCTTTTAAATTCATCGTTAGGCATTAAAACAACAGTAACTTGATATATGCAAAATAATGGCTGCCTCCTCTTTCTGTCCCACCCAGGACATGGGCATCTGGACGGTGACCATGCCTCCTGGACACCACACCAAGGACGGATGCTGTTGACTAAGGAGCATGCGCCCCCCACCCCCCGTGTCTGGGCGCTGTCACACTCATCAGCGCTGAGTTTACTGGCGATAATCATACGCCAGGTCTCACTCTAAGCACTTTCTATGGATTATCTACATAAAGTTCTAGGGAACATAGATACAACCCAGGGGTGGGGGGAATTGGAGAAACCCTGAACCTTCTGAGTTTCTTTCCATCATCCACAGAAGCAAACAGGGCTTGATACGTAAATTGATAACAATGGCTAACATGTATATAGAGCTTTATGTACACTGATTCACTTAATCCTCGAAACCCTATGACCTGAATACGTTGCAGATGAACAAGCCAATGGAGGGAGTGGCTAAGCGACTCGCCAATGTCTCACAGTGAGTAAGCAGCAGAGTCTAAGTTCAAACCCAGAGCCCACGCTCTTAACGGGCATCGCAGAAGGAGCAGACCCTCAAGGCACAGGCTTTACCACCAGCTCAACCCATGTTCAAAACACGCCTCTGCCTCTCGCAAGTGCTGAGAGACCGAGGCAAGCTGCCGATCTCTCCACGCCTTCCTCGTCTGCAGAAACACCCACGATGCCTCATCATGTTTGTTACTAGAATTAAATGAGTTCGGGCACAGGGCCCGGTACATCGTGTGCTTCAAGATGGCACTGCGTGTGACAACCCTCTCTCTTCACTGAAGCCCAGGGGTGCACCATGTTCCACCTGTGTCTGCAGCTGCTAGGGTGGTTGCCCTTCGTTCATATGGTCTTACTGCACCCAAGCAAGGCCGGTCTGGGCTGGCAGGGCAGGAATGAATGACCTCACAACCCTTTTAATAGGTACCAGTTTCAAGAACTCAAAAGGTTCACTCAAGTCTCAGGAGAGGTTTATAGAACCATCATCTCCCTCCGCCCCTTCCTGAGGCCCCAACAGGGAAGTGGTCCAGGAAGGTGGGTGAAGGAGCCTCTTTCTGTGCCCCCTCCGTCAGGGGGTGGGCGTGAGTGAGTGTGGAGTGTACAGCGGCCGCCCCAGAAATGGTTTAGTGACCTGTCACCACGGGAGTTTTCCTTGGCCCCACCACAGGGAGGTTGTCTGAGAAGTGAGAAGAGCCTACTAGTTCAAGACCAAAGGTCCTTCGTCATGGGGAACGGAAAGACCTGAGAGTGTGGGGCAATGCTGGCAACGTGGGCTGAAAAAAATGCAGCTTCCTTTCCAGCCTGTAGCTTCACACCATCGAGGAGGTTAGTGTTCTTGGCCCAGGGACACACCAAAAAAATGATGCTTGCCTAGTCTTCAGCTTTTCCAATTCCTTCTCCAGAGAATACCCCAGACCGAATACTGAATGTGACTGGCAGTAAAGGACTTCCTCTTTCGGATCACAGATCCTAACTCTGTACTGGCTGTGTAGCCCTGGACAAATAACTTCACCTCTCTGAGCCTCAGTTTCCTCCTCTGGAAAACAGACAATGCCAGGTCCTGTATCCTTGGGCTGTACTGAGGATTAGATGAGTTAAGGGTGTGATGCTCTTAGATCAGAACTTCATACAGTACATACAATGGCAGATGGTAAGCATTCCATAAACGGCAACAGTTAACAGTGTTGTTATTTATGACTGTTACTGTTGCTACTATTATTGTTAATATTATTTAAAAGTCTCTATTAATCTCCATAAACAAGCTGTTACTATAACCTCTGATCCAAACCAGCATCAAGTGAAAAAGAAAATATTCTACACTATTTTGGGCTAACAGTGCCTAAGGGTTAGCTCTTTCCTGCAATGCCCATTAATTTAATTACAGTTCAACAAAGTATTTTTCATCCATCCATCCACTTATCAAATATTCATTGAACACCTACTATGGGTCAGGCACTGTCCAGGGCGCACAGGATACACAGAGGGAAATTACTGTGGTGACAGGTCACTGAACCATTTCTGGGGAGGTCACTGTAGCCCTTCATACTCACACCACCCCCAAAAATAAAATCAGTGCCCTTGTGAAGCTAACGTTTTAGTGAAGCAAGACAGACAAATGACAACGCAGTAAATTCCTCTTACATTAGAAGGGGATACATGCTTTGGACAAAGAGAAGAAATACAGTGAAGGGAGGGGAGTTGGGAAGTGGGAGGGAGACTTGTTGTTTATCTATTGTTAGGATGAAGAGTCGACTGGGAAATGAAGAGACCGAGTTAGGGGAGCTGCGCGCCTCTCCACCTTGCTCTGCGCCTCAAGGCAAGCCCAGCCCCTCTCCTCCGTGAGCCCATTTCCCGCGTGAGAGGGCTGCCTAGGTGACCTCAAAGCTGTTTTCTAGACTCAACGCCTCTCAAAGTGTGATCCATGGATCACCTGCACCAGAATCACTTGGTAAAAATACAGATTCCTGAGCCCCGAGTCAGAGCTACTTGGTCAGACTCCCCGGGAGGTGAGGCACAGGACTGAATGCTAAAGAAGCCCTGACTGGTTTGGCTCAGCGGTTAGAGTGTTGGCCTGCAGACTGAAGAGTCGCAGGTTCGATTCCCAATCAAGGGCACGTACCTGGGTTGCAGGTTCAATCTCTGGCCCCAGCTGAGGTAGTGTGGGAGGCAACCAATCGAAGTGTCTCTCTCACATCGCTGTTTCTTTCTCTTTCTCCCTCCCTTCCACTCTATCTAAAAATCAATGGAAAGCTATCCTCAGGTGAGGATTAACAAGGTTGTGTCTTATAAACCCTCATGTTTGGTAAGCATCTTCCTTCTTGTTTTCTCGGTAGCAAAATTCTCACAAGTAACTGGCCCGTCTCTGGTGGAAGGTTTCCGATTTCTATGCAGCCTTTTGCCCTTGATGCTAATCTGGGGCCACAACAAGCTCCCTTGCTTTATCTCAGCCACCTTCAGACTAATTGACTTGCCCAAAGGCCTTTGGGGCTTAAGTTACACCTGACCTATTAGAACACAGCCAGCCTGTCACTGCTAATGACCCGTCACACCATCCAGATATGGATTTTTCAGAAAACAAGCTGAGAGAATGGTTTCATGGCGCCAAGTATAGCATTTCACCTTCCTGGCCGTTGGTGGCATAAATCAATTTCAAGTGGATTATCTTGCAGTACAATAACTGTGGTTCCACAGTTTTCCTACACCCTACACCCTGAAGGAGCTAATTCCCAAACTGGCCATGTAGGTAGCTTGGGCTATTGTCACGAGTTAATGGCAATGCCTCCATTTAGTATGTCCTCTGTCCCCTAGGGTTCAAAGACCTCTCTGGACTGTAACTCCCACAATTCTATCTCTAGACCAGAATTCTCCTCTGAACTCCAGACTCAGGTCCAGACCAGATCCTACCGGACATCTGTCCCTGAGGAGCCTGTGGAAGTCTGCCACTTGACACATCCACAGCAAAGCCCAGGAGTCCCACCCCTTCCTCATCCCCAGCTAGTCACATCTGATTCTTTCCTTTCCCTCACCACACCCCCGCCCATGTCCAAGCCTTTGATCTAATCTCTGAAATACTGATATAGCGCAAATCCAACAACTTTTTTCCATCTCCATCTCCAACCCGTTATCCCATAGCAGCAAACATAATTAAAAATGTAGAAATGGATTAGATCACTTCACCCTTGTTTCCTTCACACTTAGAACAAAACCCAACCACTCACCAGGGCTACAAAGGCCCACCTCTCTGGCCCCACTGGTCCCTCCAACTTCATTACCTACTGCTCCCCCCTTTGCTTGGGACCCTCTAGCCACACTTTATTTCAGGTCCTCGAATAGGCCACACTTTTCCTGGCCTCAAGGGAAATGATCCTTCTGCCTGGAGGCTCATCCCCAGTTCTTCCGTATCCCCTAGGCCTTAGCTCGGGCAGACGTCCACTTCTCTGGCTATGTAATCTCGAAAGGCCGCCTCCTGTCCATTAGGCCCCATCTCAGCCCCACGTTTATGTCCTCCAGAACAGTCATGGCACCTCGTGGTCATGCTTATTTATTTCCTCTTCCTTGTCTCTCTTACGAGGATGAAAGTTCCAGGAGGCAGGGGCTTCGCCTTGCTCGCTAAGCCAGGGCACCACTGGCTGAAGGAATGAAGCAAGTGGCCCTCGTTTCCCGCCGGACAGTGCAGGACGCACAGCACCGAGGCTTCCCGAGCACCGCCACGTGCGCCAGGCTCTGGGGCGGTGCCGAGCGACTCGGGTGGGAAAGGAACGAGTGCTGCCCTCAAGGCGCTCCCGTTCCTCTGCCGGCTGGGCTCCAGTGCTGTCTTACACTGACCGAGAGGAAGCAGGTCTCCAATCCTGGCTTAGTCAGCAATAAAGGGCATGTCCAATTTATTATTTTTTTTTTTAGACAAAAAAGAACTTGTACCACAAGAAACACACGTTGGAAAGAATGAGATAATCAAAAGAATAAGACATGACCCTTCTGCATGAGACGAAATGAATGCTGAGCCCAGAGCCACAGGCTCTTTCTGAAGGCGGTTGTGCTGAAGGGCACAGACCGCGCACGGGGATCTGGGGGACTTCCTGGGAGTCAGAAGGATAGAGAAAGTAAAACACGCCTCTCATGCATGGCTTCTTAGAATGCCCTGACTGCTTGGGAAGTGGAAAGGGTGTGCTCTGGGGGT